CATCCATTCGCACAGTGCCAGCTGCTTGGGGTTTAAAAGGCAATGTGTTACGTTTCGAATCAATCGGATTGAAAGTTTATGTGCAATGTCTCCTTTAGTCGAGCGAGCATTACTGGTCAAATTCTTTTACCTCAACCAGTGCAACGCGTCAGCCGCTCTTCGTGTTTTTAGAACGCACAAAAAAAAAAAAAAAAAAAAAAAAAAAAAGCATAAAGGTAACGGTCCTGTGTCAGTTAATGGACTAAAAACAGGTTCTCTGAAGGTTCAGTCAGGCAGAGGACGAAAACATGTACCACAGGATACAATCGAAGCAGTTGCCACGGCGATTGTCGACAGAGGACCAGAAAATATTATTGCTGCGACCTTCTAGTGCTCGTGGAGTAGCTCAAAATATGATATGCCTCACAGTACGGTATGGAAAATCTTACGAAAGATTATCAACTTCTATCCGTACAAGATCAGCCGTGTACACGAGTTACTGTACCCCAACCATGATAAGCAATTGACTTTTGCTCTCACCTTTCTTGCCAGAATGGAGGATGATGCTTGGCCGTGGAAAATCTTATGGGGAGACGAGGCTCACATTTACCTGAATGGAACTGTGAATACCCAGAACTGCCGAATTTGGGATGACAAACCACCACATGCAGTCACAGCAATTCCCTTTCATTCACCAAAGGTAACTGTTTGGTGTGGGTTCACAGCGGAATTTATCGTAGGTACATTCTTCTATGAGAACATTACCCCGACTGGACCGGAAACCTGTTCTGTTACTGAAGAGAAATATCGCCACATGTTGAACAGCTTTGTCATTCCGGCACTTCAGCAAATACAATGCCTGGGGGAAATCATTTTCATGCAAGATGGAGCCCCTCCACACGTTGCTGTACGGATACGACAGAAATTCACAACAGAAAGAGTCATTAGCTGCTACTTTCCAACAGCATGGCCACCTCAGTCGCCTGATCTTACCCCATGCGGCTTCTGGCTATGGGGTTACCTTAATTCCAAGGTCTATCAAGGAGTGGTCCAGGACCTGGCTACGGTGAAGGATAACATATCACGGACTGTACAGGAGATTCCTGCAGACATGTTACTTTCTGCTGTTGTATATATTGTGCACAGAATGCAATATGTGGTCCACAACAATGGCAGCCACATTGAACCTCATTTGAATGCAAAATAAAAGGTAATTTCCGTATTGATTTGCATTTGTTAACACTCTATTTTCTATTACACAGTGCCAAATATCCCCTAGCGGTGACTTTTGGAACTAATTTGTTTTTTCGCAGAATCCTTCGTTCCCCGTGTTGTTTAATCTTCCTACAAAATGTGGCATCATTCTCGCAAATAGATCGCCCTACAGAACACTGTGAGCACTGTGAGTTTAATTATGGCCACCCGGTATATATATATATATATGTGTGTGTGAGTGTGTGTGTGCGTGTGTGTGTGAGTGTGTGTAAAATACAACATAACCCTTTAACTTCCATCTTCATTCTAAAAATAGCAGAGCAATAATTTTCTAATTAAACGAAAAAGATCCGTAATTGAATATGCATTGCATACTCATCGATGAAGTCTGAACCCAACCACCTGTACATTAAACTGTCATGTGATCTGAAATGGAATTCGTATAAAAGCTTAATTACGTCACGACTCCGTCTTTTCTCTTGCTTCGTGTAGCTGCTTTGTATTGCCACTAGCCTTGTAGAGTTTATTTTTCTAAATTTAGTCCATTCTTTAAGAATTGCAAGCTGTAGAAAATTGGGAGGTGTATAGCGCACCCACAGTGATACCGTGCATTATCGAAAAATAAAATTATTTGTGGAATTTAGGCTATGTATTTAAGCATGTTTGCAAGTTTTGTTTGTTTTTTTTTAAATGCATCAATTGCTTTAACTATGTGGTAAAGTTTTCAAGTTATATGATGCAGTCCTCTCTGACGTCAATCCGTTGTAACTCTCACCAAGTCATCTTACTTCAATAATAATGCAGTTTTATCACAATAATGGAGCAATTTTATTACATCTAATCTAATGCAGCATTATTATTATATATATAAATCTCTGTAATGGATTAAAGCAGTTTAGATAGATAAAAACTAATCAAACAATTTAAACTTCTGTATAAAAATGTCATTTCACCCCTTTCTTGGTCACAAAAATTTTCCTTGCAGCATTCCCTTTGAGCTGAAATTTAAAGTGATTACCTAAATACAGAAAAATTAAAAGCCAGGAGACACACAGCTGTAATGAAAAATCAGATGTATCCTGTTTCCATCAGAAGAACTGGCCACTTCAGCTATCTTAATTCATCTCAAGTGAAAACTCATTCCAAAATATAAAAAAAAATTCTATCACATTGAGCAATTTGACTTGCAGTTTCTTCATATGTGTAATAACATCAGCCTGAAGCAATTAAGATTATTGCCTGCCTGAATTATGTTATATATTTTCCAATAACCTTGCATCCAATGACGATGTTACAAAAGCCAAATATAGCACAGACCTTTGTGTCATGAAATCAGCGACACCTAAGCAAGCCATCAGATAGGAAAAAGGGAATGTTAAATTGTCTGAAAAGGAATGCCACTCACAGATACGACTTCGAATATTTCTGGTTCTTGACAGAAAAATTATAAAATGGTTGGCATGGCATAATATTTGTTAACAAAACATTAATTTAAACATCATCATCTATAGTTTTGTCACACAGTGCTCAAATTGGATGCGCCTGTGTGGTATCCACTTGAAACTGTTTCAGAAAGGAAACTAAATTTCATGTTAATTTTGGCATAAAGTGCATAACTTCACACCCTAATTCTACATCTTACTCTTTCACAAAATCTGAGAGTATGTGAAGCTTTCTTGCTGCAAGTTGGTAGCATTTCAAAAGAACCTGAACTGACTTTATTTCACAATGTAATGCAGGATTGAGGTTACTGAAGTACTCATATGATTCTGATGCAAAATGATATTCTAAAATTTACTTTTTTCTCTGATGTCATTTCATAATTTTCTTACACATTTACATAGTGTGGCAATTAAATAACGATTTGAAAAATACACCTTATTGAAATCTTATTACACATAGCTTTTAATCTCGTTCACTGTACTCCTCTTACCTATATATACACAGCTGCATATATGCTCTCCATTGTTTGATCTTGTGCTGCAAGTCTTTATTTGTCAGCCTCTTCAGCAAGTCAACTGTTTTCGGCTTGACCTCTTCAACAGATTGAAAATGTGTTCCTATTAATGCTCATTTCACTTTTGGGAAGAGGAAGAAGTCACAAGGAGTGAGATTTGATGAATATAGTAGATGTTCGAGCACAGTAATTCTCTTGACATTAAGAACTGTTTCACCAGCACATTGTCTTGGTGCAGCATCCATGATTTGGGTTTCCACAGGTCTGGTCTTTTCTTCTGCGTCCTTGCTCTCAGTTTGGTCCGTACCTCAATCTAGTAATTCTAGTTTACCATTTGGCCCTGAGGTATGCACTTTACTAATCATGATGACATCCTTAATATTGGTGAGGGGGGGAGGGAGATAAGCATGACTTTCATTTTTGACTTGTTCGTTCGCCTTTTTTGCCCTGTGGTGAAAAGGGGGGATTCTTCCAGTGCATGCATTGTTGCCTTCATTCATAGTCGTATTGGAAAAATCCCACATTTCATCATATGGGATGATTTTTTTCTATGCATTCAGGCTCTGATGTGAATTGCGCCACGATGTCACAGCAAATGCTTGTCTGGTTCTCCTTTTGCTCTCATGTGAGGGTTTTTGGTACCATTTTTGTGCAAACTTTCATCATTTCCCAAGTCTCATGCAAAGGTTTTCTTATTGTCTCTTTGTCACTGTTCGTCATGTCTGCCATCATCTGAATACTCAAATGGTCTTTCCGTATGATTTCATTATTTTTCTCAATGTTTTTATCAATTTTTGATGTCACAGGTTGACCAGAATATACATCATTTGTAACCTTTCCATGACCTTCCAGAAATCATTTGCGATGTTCAAAAGCTCAAGTTCACAGCAAGCAATTATTGTCAAATACTCCCTTCATTAACTGAAAACATTCACTTGGAGTTTTATTTAATTTCACAAAGATTAATGCCCTGCTTGATTTTTAAGCTTATCATGATTCTTGGACTCGCAAAACAACATTCAACTTAAGCAATGATTAACAAACAACTAAACAAGATAGAGATGAACTATAGCTCCACTTGTAATGGAAACAACTACATTCTGTCCATTTCCCCCCCCCCACCAAGATTAAGGGCTAGGGCATGCACTGGCCTGTTAATTTAAGTATCACATCTTGTATACTGAGAAATTTCTGAGTAGAGAAGAAAAGTTTTTATTTATCAAAGTATTTTATATTGAAAATAAAATTATAATTAATGTATTAACTGTTTGTGCGTACACATAGTAATGAACAATTTATTAGTGTAAAACAGAATTTATACAAATATATTAATTAATTAAACATTGATTGAATTCCTATAAAATATTTTCACAAACTTCCATATATTAAAATAATTCAGATGAATTAAAGTTAATAAGAAAAATCATGCGCAAAACTAGCAGGAGTGAGGGAAACAAATTTTCACAATTTTAATTTAATTAATTCAATTTTTTTTTATTGCTGGGAAACACTTCCTTTAGTTAAAAAATTAAAAAACGGGAGATTCATTCTTCTTGATGGTTGGAAGATGTGATAGAAAACTGGGAGAGTTGGTAACTGCATTATATAAAAATAGCAATAAAGTTCCACATTCTAGAAATCATAATAGTACTTCTGAATATTTATCAACCAACATTAGAATGTCCAGATGTTACGCATGTATCAATAAAATTCAAATTCTAGAAATTCAATGAAAATTACAGTAACTTTTAGAGTAGCATTACTTACATATTCACTACATATTTCACACCTAAGTGAAATAAGGAAAAGTATATATGACAAATTAACACCACAAAGGTAACAAACTTACCACAATGCTCAACAACTTCAACACCAGGCGATGCCATATAATACTGATCACAGAGAAACTTTGCATTTTCATATGCATCTAAAAGTTAAAAAATATTGTTAACATGACAATCAGGCAAAATATTTCATTGTTATGCCCCCAATATTAAAAGCTGCATCTAATTCACTTTTCTGGTGGAATTTATATGTTGCAAGAATTTAGATATTGGCATTTACCAAAACTTTCTTATTTAAATTAATACTCCTAGAGGCACTTAATAAACAAATACATACATAAATAAGCTATTTAGTACTTTCAAAATATTGATGCATATTTAAAAAAATCATATATGTAGTCTCACTTACATCCCAACTTTTCAGCAAACTGTTCAGAAATTACATAAACATCTTGAAAAAACAATAACAATAGCTGCTTATTATATTAAATAAATTGACAAATACAATAAAAGTACAATAATTCTTCATACTTGGGACTTTGGCTATTTCTGTCTGACTTTAAAATGCTGTAGAAACAGTTTTTAATGTTATTTAACATACGATAAAAAAGAAAAAAATGTAAGCAAAATTATATGTGCATTAATTCTACAAAAGTATTTAATGATTGAAAACAAAATAATAATAATAAAAAACTATCTGCAAAACTTAGCATTTTTAACTAATTCATATTTTTGAATTTTCTGCATTGTTATTAAACGGAAATTTTTCAAACAGAATTCGAATATCTACCTATTTCCTTAATTCATCATTATTTTTCACATGCTATAATGATTATTCAATGCTCTACAGTAATGGTTTCTGTGGGCGTGCATGGATATTGTGTGAAGGAATTGTTTAACATGAAATAAAATAATCATGACCCATTTTCATTATTATGAAAGTTAAAATAAATGGCAGTGAAAAACTGGAAGCATGTCCAGAGTAACGTCTTATTTTATGTCTTGAGTAAAATAAAACAAATTGCACTCTTTTTTTTTTAAAATAACAGTATGAGTGGAATAGGCGCTCAGATGGTATAATGGTTAGAGAAGCCTGCTATGGTACTGAAGGGCCCGGGTTTGAATCCCGGAGAAGGCATGGATGTTTGTAAATGCATAGTGTTTATGCGGCATGGGGATACTTTAAATATATAGCCAGCCAAACGTCCTCTCGTGTGGGTTGGTAGCAGGTAAGAGGAGTGCAAGACCTCGCCCTCCTCCAGATGCTCTCTTTCAAAACTGGGTCTCCTTCAGGTTCTGGCAACTATTCTTCCATGAAATTCATGGACAAGACAATAACAACAATACGAGTGAGCTGAAGAAAAAATGCAGACAATATAGTCTTGAATATTTAAAACTTGGCTTCATTCTTTTACTAGGATATAGTACTTCACCTATGTGCCTTCTGTGCAATAAAACTTTGTCAAACAAATCAACATTCGACAAAAGTCTATACCGAGAAAAAAGATAACGATTTAACTTTTTTTTATAACTGTAAATAAAAATAATTTGAAAACACTGTCACTGAAACAACATTTGTGTAAGATGACAATGGACTGCTTCTTATAACATTTCTTTACTTTATTTACTGCAGGAATTCCATTGAGATTAATACAATATAACAGGGTTGGCCAAACTTCATGTCAGTAAGAGCCGCACGTTTAAATTCAGGAATGTTAGAGAGCCCCATCTAGATTTTCTAAACGGCACAATTTTATATTTACATCATTATAGAAGTAGTGGAGGAGGTTTTAAATAGAAAGAAATCCATGATAACTTTGTAAAAAAAGTCTAAACTAATTAATTACTTCTCTTGGGACATTGAATAGTTTTAGTTTATTCTATTCCATACATATATTTTATATGCACGAGCCGCACAAATTGACTGCAAGAGCCGTATCAGGCTAGCGAGCTGCACTTTGGCCACCCCTGCAATATAAAGAAGGGTTGATGAAATGGCTCAGTGTCTGGAAAAATGTGAATATTTAAGAACATCTGAATTTTCTATACAGCTTGAAGAGACAACTTTGCCAGGAACTTAAGCTTTATTTTGGGCTTATGTGAGATGCTGTAAAAAAAAAAAAAAAAAAAAAAAAAAAAAAAAAAGAGATTTATTTGCAAAATATTTGGATATGAAAAGTGAAACAATACTTAATGAATTAACAAGATATTTTTATGTAAAAGCTATGCCCTTGAGTCATAACCTCTCCGCTACATCTGAAGGTGTTCTGTCAATAATAAGATGATACAGAGACTTTCTAGCATACATAACACAAGCTATATCAAATGAATTATCTACACATTATGTCATTCATCAACAGCATTTTGCAACAAAAAATGCTACAGAATGCTTATATGGATGACTAGATTATGTCATTTGAACAGTTAATAAAATCAAATGGAATCTTTAAATGAGAGATTATTTATTTAGTTTCATTTGGAAACTGATGAAAATTATAATCATTTACTACTTAACATGGAAGTTCATTGTTTGTCCAAAAGTGATGTTTGGATTGATTTTATAGATTCTTTTATTCAGTCTTCGTATTATTGGAAATTAAAGACACTGCTTTGCAGCTCAATTTAATTCAGAATAAGTTCCAATAAGACATAACTTGCATGATTGACTAATTTGACAAATTTAGGAAAACTCTCAATTAAATTTAACCAAAACTATTAATATATAATATCTGTATTTCAAAATGTTTTCTATACAAACAAAATCTGGGGAGAGGAGAATTCTCTTTGATTTCAAATCATTTAAAAACTGCTAAAAGAGATGAAGATTTGCTTGCTTGTTATTAACACTTAATGGCTCTTCATTCTGACTTCAGCCGAAGATTTGAAGATATTCTTCACTTGGTTAATCTTGACTAGATGTGGGACCCTTTTGCAAGTAGACCCATGAACTTGGATGAATCCATACTAATACAAGAGTAATTTATTGAATTATCCACAAATGAGGAGCAGAAACCAATGTTTGAACAATTTTGTTATAAAAACAGATACCAGTTTATATCCAGAATTATGGGTCCTGCAGAGAAGCTGTTGATTGCTTTTCCATAGCTTTTAGTTTTTTAACTTTATTGCAGTTTTTACTTTCTATTTCTATAATTTAGTTTATATTGTTAATAGCAGTATACTTACTGCTAATAACGATAAAGAATATACACTACTAATAATAAATACACAGTACTTTTAGACTGTGCACAGCCCTACTGAAAAGCTGCAAACTCACTGGAATTTTGGAAAGATTTTTTTTTTTGGGGGGGGGGTTACCTTTATGTCTATCCCACTGATATTTGTACATCTGGTGCTATATATATATATTTTTTTTATGCAAGACATGCACACTTCTCAGTATTCCCTCCCCACACTTGTTCTCTCCACAGCCCCTTTTTGTTAAAAAAAAACATATAATTGTACAAACTTTATACCAAACATAATTTCTGCATCAAAATTCTAGGAAAAAAAGAGATACAACATGCCTTTAAGTCAGCAACAATATGCTGAAACTCACATAGGTGGGATCATAATTTACCATTGCTATTAATAGGAGGTCTCACCATGTTTTTTGCTGTTAGCCTTCCAGTCAGCTTATTCACATTAAGGTTTGGTAAAATGTAATTTATTTTCATTTCTTCTGAAACATGATGGCCAAAGAACTGATTAGTCAGATTTGTATAACATGTAATAAATGATTCAACTTATTCTGAAATGATATATATGGTTAAGAAAAAAAGTCTGTGCACCACCTTCTTGTATTAGTTATAGTTAAAAGTTTTTCTTTCTAAACACGGATTTTTTCGTACTGACATAAGAAAGAAAATACTCCAATATTCCTAAGCTGTTTCTATAGTACAGAAAGCATATTATTGTTAAAAATGTGTTCATAAACACTAGACTTCCAAGATTTAGTCTAAATTAAGAGTTCAAGGCAGACAAACAAGAAAGGATATCTACAAAAATCAGCATCTTGGGTTGCCTTTGGAGCTGGTCCTGGGTGTCTGATAACTTTATTTGATAAGTTAAAATTTCACTGGTATCAGTCTGAAAATTTCTTGGGCCAACTCGCTGAATACTTCTTGCAAAATCTTCACAGAATAACTTTACTCATAGCAGACTAGGATTAGTGCTCATAAGATCAGTTATACAGACATAGTGATCCTATTACACAGAACTAATTATCATAATCCATCTGAACAAATTTAGTTTGTTTGGTTTATTTTTTATGATAATAAAGCACCTCCATAGGATTAATGCATTTGCTTTTAAAGCATTAGTTATGGGTATCCACATCAAATGAGCAAATCATCATTTTAATATCACTAGACTTGGGTCTAAGAGGCATCCAGGTGTAGTGAAATTCAGTTACATAGATAAGTCTGTGAAAACAAACAAACTAAAAAAAAAAAAAAAAAAAAAATTAAACACTTTTGATTGGTCTTTGTTACATCACAAATCTACTAGGGGCTAAAAGTTTGCTCCCTCTTATCCAGCAAATGCTGCCTATTATTTCCCAGTTTGGATATTTCTTAACCGCTTCCCTTACAAATTTTTTTGAAAAAAATTGCAAAAAATCATCACATTTCTTTATTTTATTATTAAATACAACAAAATGAAACAAATCAAAATATGTAGGTTTTTAAGTTGAATTTTTAATTTTTTGAAGGTGTAAAAGCATTTATTTTTAATATCAGTTTACTATCCCGAGTTATCTCGGGCAACGGAAAAAAGTGAAATATTAATCTTTGTATGATAGTTTTGAAACAAGGGACAACACAGAGTGATACCCGACATTCTACACTGGTATCTGGTCTCTTTCCTTACTGGCTTACCGCTGGAATCTCTTTCACGGGAGCACAGAGTACACTATCTCGTTTGATTTTATTAAAAAAAAAAAAAAAAAAAAAAAAAATTTCCACTTCATAATCACTATCTGAAAAATCATTGCCATTATTTTATTTTTGTTTCAACACATGCATCCTTCTTTATACATTACTAATCCACAAGCCAACATATACTATACAATAGGGAAACACGTGACCAGTCCCTTCAAAAGAATCGTGCAACCAACAAAATTTGGCAAATTGCCAATCAAAGCTGCATATTTCCTTTCATTTCCTCCAGACTGAATAAAACTGTGATAAAAGAAATCGTACTAACAAATTCTGCTTCGCCCGAGTTTTCTCGGGATAATAATTAACTGCAATAAATACAAACCTGAGATAACTCGGGATAATCAGGCAAGCGGTTAATTTAAAATTGTGAATTTAAATTTCATTTTTAACTTAATTATATTACTTAATTTATCACGTAATGTAAAAATTGCTTCTTACATATGTGCAGAGTTATTTTGCTTTAAAATAATCACAATGTTTCACACTTTGATTATGAATTATAAACTAAACAAGAGTTTAGATTAAAGTCTCTATTAAAATGATTCTTGTTTTAAAAAGCGTTATACTATTTATTTTTCCATTATGAAATGCTCTTTCAAATTAAATTAAAAATTAAGATTTAAATTGAAAAATGCATTCTGGAAAGAAAGGATATAGCAAAAATTTTTTTCTATAAATTTATAAAAAAAATAAAGGTATAAATTTAAGAAAATAAAGAAGTTTACACAATTATAATAATTATTTAAACAATACACAATTATAATAATAATATTAATACAAACGTACATTACAAATATTTGTAACTGTATATATATCCACACACACATACACATCATGTTCACAGAAGTCCTTAGATGGCCTTTATTTTCCTACTATTACTCATAGACATATTTAGCCAGTTACAAAACTGTTTTAAACATTAAAAATATCCCTGTTTTTTAAATTTTTAAAAAAAGTAAAAATCTAACTTTTTACATGGTTTCTCCTCCCTACAGGTAGAATTAGGAAAATTTTACATTCGTTTTAAAAAATGTGCCTTCTGTACTAAAAAAAAAAAAAAAAAAAAAAAAAAAAAAAAAAAAAAAAAATTAAGCTTGAGATCACATTTAGGAGCCATATACAAATAGAAGAACAAAATGTTTACATTTCAGAGTAACTGAAAGTTACATATCAGTTTAGAAAAAAGATTTCTGGTGTCAGCAAGATTCAATGACAAGCATTTCTATGCTGAAAATATTTATCAATACAAATTTTTAAAAAGATATCTTTTTCACAAAATTTTATAAAATTCGCATTCTAGAAGACACTAGAAGACTTCAGTATTGGTCCATAGCTTACTTCCTTAAATTAAAAATTAGAAAAAATATTTCTAAATTAATAATTTAATAAAACATCATGAGAATATTAATAACACATTTTTAGCACACCAATTATAACAAAATTATAAATTAAAGAATATTACATTACAGTAAATTACAAAATATTACAAAATGGCATTTAAAAGAAAAAACCAAACCTTGAATTAATCAAATTTATTCTTAACAAAGAACTGGAAAATTTTAAAATTGAATATCACAGTCAGTTCCCCCCCTTTTGTTGTATGTGTTTGTACAGGAGTCACATTTTTTCGCATTTTATTTACATTATGAGTACAAAATTTTCCCAAATATAAGTACAAATAAAAGGTTACGATTTTGTAATTTTTTGAAAATTGATTTTTATTTTCCTTTCAAATTAAAAAATACCAGACCATGAATATATTCATCATTTAAAGCATTTCTGTATTTAGAAGTATATGTTTATGACCAGTGGTTGCAAAAATAAAAGCTACATATGGACTTTTGTGGATATGGTGTCTGTAAAAAGTGGTTATAACACACTTTTGTGGGCATGGTGTCCAATCCTGATACATTGAATTATGACAGCATGCTTGAAAAACAATGGCCTCAATATAAATATAGCATATTCCAAAATACATTCTGAAGGTTACTTGTGCAATACAGTAAAATTACCATTTAAGACTGCAGTCACACGACAGCTTGGATCAATGCACCCTATATGGCGAGGATGGCCATTAAGATTTGAACCAAACAAAGAAGCTAAAAATAAAGAAAAGATAAAATATATTAATAAGCACAGATATCAACAATAGAAAACTCACCAAGCAAATTATTTACACAACTCTCAAAATGGTCAGTACTCATGAACCTTTGGAAACCAGTTAGCCAAAATCTTTCCAAAACAGTGCCAATCTAAACACAAGATTTCTGACAGACATAATTTCTGCCCAAATACAGAGCCTGTTCGCACAACGATTTTGGTAAGTGGTAATAAAAACTCGTTTGCCGCAAAAGAAGTAATTGCAATCGTACTATGTTTTTAAAAGTCAAAATTATCGTCTGTGGCTTGAACATCTGTGGCTTGTTTTTATTCAAAATGGCGAATTTAACAAAGCAGTGGTTCGAAGGCTACATTTACACTTTTTCCGAAGAGAAATATGCATACTCTTATCCAAAAACGATGTGAGAGTCATGGTTTTGTGATATCTACAGTGTCGATAGGTAATATCATCAACAAGAAAGGAAAAAAACATCAAATTGGAGCCTCAAGTGGGACAAAAATTCCAAACAAGCATCCAAGGAAAAAATGGACATCTTCGACTATTGCAAAGGTACGTTATTTAATGTTAAAAGAAAATCCCCCTAGTCAAAGGACAGTTGCAAAATCATTAAAATGCTTGGTGTCCACTGTAACCAAAATGATAAACGTTGATTTAAATCTTAAGAAAGTGAAAAAACGCAATGTGCATCATCTTTTTCCAAAGCATATCGCTCAACACAGGACACGCTGCAGAATTCTATATGAGAAACACTTATCAAAAAAAAAAAAAAAAAAAAAAAAAAAAAAAAAAAAAATTGTCACAATAAATTAAGCATGGGTGTATTTAAATGCTTGTAACAAAAAAAAAAAAAAAAAAAAAAAAAAAAAACCATTTATTATCATAAAAGGGGAGAAAAAATTTAAGTACATGGTTCAAAGAATCGAAAGAAAGTTTTTCTAAGAGATTCATGATTGTTGCTGGTTTTTCTTAAAATGGCAAGTTAAAAATAAAGAGAGTGCGAAAAATGTCAAGATTAACTCCAAATACTATCAGGAACATATTTTATCGCCAATTTTTCTGAACGAAATACCATCGATTTACCCATAGTGCCATCAATCTATGAGACTCCATCAGGACAAAGTTAGCAGTCACACATCAAAATCCACTGTAAATTTCCTAAAAGAAATGGAACAAAAAAACCGGTCTCAAGGCCATACCCTTCACTGATATCCCTACTAAATCTCCCGATGTGTCACCTATGGATTTTTGTGCTTTCAGACTTTAAAAACTGCATTATCCAAACGTTGTCCCAAAACCCTAACAGGACTCTGGAAAGCTGTTCGGAAGGAATGGGATAGAATATCTCATCTGCCACTTCAAAAGGCATTATTATCCTGGAAATTGCGGTGTCGAAAGATAGTTCAGAATAAGGGATGTGAAATAGAAGATTTAAAACACAAGAATTTTATGTAATTTAATTTTGTGAATACAATATACATCGTCTAAAAAATGTGTGAACAGCCTCTGTAGACCGTGCTCTGAAACAGTTTTCTTGGCCTGTATAATTTTGTGACATAAATTAAAGAAAACACACCTTCGAATGACTAATTTGATAAAAGTTTCTTAGCACTATTAGAAGCTTCACTGGAAAGAATTTTCATTTTATGACTCCCCAAATATCTATTGCTTAGGTAAGATCGTTCTAGTATTGTTTTTTCCCTTACACGAAAAAAACTTCTGTCAAAACATTGTGGCATAAAGGTGCCTACATTTCTATGAAGGTAGCTTTTTTCTAGATGTTGATTTGTATAAGAATTGAAGTATCTTTATGTAGGGGCACTCCTACAAATATTTCTATCTTTTCAAACAGGGACCAAACTATACAAAAATTTGAATGCCTTCAGAATGGGGCATTGCTGCGTAAGTAGAGTTTTAATATGCTACTTTGATAAGTTAAGCAAAAGATAATTCTACTTGCAAAGCAATACACTAACATAAAGAAGCCTACACCTTTATCAAAGTTTCTTTTTATAAGGTAGAAACTAATCTTTATTAGCATGTGGCCACTTTTATGCTGAGACATCCTTATAAAGATTTCTGCCTTTAAAAAAAAAAAAAAAAAAAAAAAAAAAAAAAAAAAAAAAAAAAAGAAGGCTTTCCAATATAAAGGTCTGAGCATCTTTATAGAACAGTGCTCTGGATCCACTGGAAATTTGTTAATTTCACTCAAATGTTGATTCTCTAATGGATTTATTAATTAATATAAAGCACAAACACAATTATCAGCCGATGGAAAGGAATGCCTTTATTCACAGCTTTCAATGAATATTGGGTCCATTTCTATGTCAGACATGAGAAAAAGCACATTTTACCCCCTTTAGTTAATTAGCCCATTTCACCCTTAAAATAAAATTCTAGTACAAACTACTATATTTTACAGTTTTAGTAATCCACTTCCCCTGCATAATGATTTTATTATTATTTTTATTTTCTGTCACGCAACAAAGCATGGACCAGTATTTGCATATCAGATGGTACCTGCAAAAAATCCCCCTCCCCACTATGATTCCAGTTAGTGTTTAAGAACCTAATTCCAAATTCTTCTACAAAGGTGAAATTTTTATTTCTGTTTCCTTTCTTGTTAACTAATGTGCTCTTTATTTTAGATAAAGAATATGCTACTTTTTTAAATTTCAACATTGAATTTAGACCAATTAGGGAAAGCATATACCTGCAGCACATCATTTTTAGTATCTTTTACCCTCAGAAAACTCTTATGTCAATATTTGTTTAATATTAATTTTTAGTAGAATTTACATCACATATTTACTAGGTTTTCTGAGAAATGAAGCAGGCACTATCTATTATTTCCAAGCACATGGTATCTTGCCAAAACGCCATGGGTGTTCCAATTCTCAGCAAAACTGTGATTGATAGAATACATATGATGGAAATATAATGTTAACAACACCTAATAAAGTGCTAGAATATGAACTAAATAACTGGTTTAAGAAAAGTTAATTGCCTACTTATTTAAAAGTTTATATGGAACAAGAGAAAAGCTGTGGAGAACAACAATTCAATGCGAGTGCCAAACAGTACATGCCAGAAACTAAAAAAAAACCTATTTCATTAACAAGTTGACACTGAAAATATATTTCATCTCTAAAATGCAGCCATAGATGGCTGAGAGTATATCAGCGGTTACTAGTTATTGTACACGTACTCCTTAAATTTTAAATGTAACTATAATTTTCATATATTTCTAAAACATATTTCACAGGTGAAGATGTGCATTGAATATTACTTACTGTGTTGATTGATAAGCATTCGTATAGAAATACGACTCATATAAAATCTATCCAAAAAATACTGTATACTGTGTTCGGTTTGTTGATCTAACTGATGTAATTCCTTCAGCTCAATTACTCCTTGAGCCATGGTAGGAACTACATCATTATGGCGGTTGTGAATTTTGATCAGACGTTCACAAAAGCTGAAAAGAAAGAAAAACACAAATTTAAAAGAAATCATAACCATCTAAAATTTTATTATTTATTAATGCACTACATCTTCATTCTTGAAACTTAAATTAGTAAAAAAATATTCTTTATGCTTTAAATTTCTTTAAATTTCATTCGTGAAACTTCTTTTCAAAATTTCAATGACACTTTTACAAAAGACTGGATATTAATCAAAGGCAGCACAATATTTTTTAATAAATTTTTCATTTTTTACTTTTATTGCAAAAAACTGCATATATCAACTATGGTATAAATATTAACACAGATTTCATCCTACAGTTTTATCTTTAGAATTAGGCATGCAGAAGTTCAAACATAAAACAGTAAGAGAAAAGGCAAAAGAAAGTCTACAAGTGGTAAATTTTCATTATTCTGTTTTTATAGATTTTTTACTTTTAGCTTCCAATGATTGCTTTATCAAATTTATAATCTGTAAATAAGTAACTGTTCATAATATTTCAAGAAGCAGCTAACTAAAATATACTTCTTAAATTACATTATTCTTATTTTAGTATTTCATTACCAAATCATACTTATATTGAGTCATCTGGAAAGTTCTGCAGTTTTCCAAGTTGAAACCCATTTTCTTCTAATTATTTTGTTACTGTTGATATGGAATGACCTTGAAAGAAGTTAATGTTTACATAAAGCTTTTGTTGTTCTTGATGCATAATTCATTGTGTTGTGACATAATTTTTGTTTCAGTGCAGTGCTAACAATGGAGAACCCATAAGTTCACTTCCGTCATATTATGATCTTTTATTTTAGAAACAGGGAAAAATGCTAGTCAGACTTCTCATAAAATTTCTGCTACACAGAGACAAAGTGCTGTCTGATGACATCAACTCAAAGGTGGTTTGAGAAGCTTAGGCACAGAAACTACACCTTGATAATGATTTCTACTCTGGGATATCATCAACTACAAATAAGGACCTATTAGGTTAAGATATGACTGAAAATCCATGTTATACAGTTCAGGAACTATCAGGCACACTTAAATACTCCTTAAAATTACAGTATATGAACACGCAAAAAACACTGGGTATGTAAGATGCTTTGATATACAAGTACCCCATACTTTAACGGAGCAGAATATGCTGGGTTTATTTTCTTTTATAGGAGTATTAACATAGTTTAATTATTCATGGTATATTTTAGTATTTTTATTATAAAAGTATTTGTATTTTATATTCTTTTCCTTGCTTTCTCAAGACCTAGATATTATGCTTTTATTGTTGAATTGTATCTCCTTGTGCTACGAGTTATTTACTTATATCTGTAAGCCTTGTGGAATACTTTGTGAAACACCAGGAATTTCGTAGTTGTTTTCTTAATTAAGGAAAAAAAAAAAAAAAAAAAAAAAAAAAAAAAGAGTATATGGCATACAAATCTTTGCTGAAAAGAAATACAAAAGCTCCTTTTTTGAAATGGCTCATTAGCGGATATGAGGACTACATAACATACAATAATAGTATAAGTGAAAGACCATGAGAATGCTGAATGAATCTTATTCAGTAACCTCCAAAGGTGGCTGCATCCCAAAAAAGGAATGCTTTGTGTATAGTGAGGCATAAAAGAAATGTATACTATAAATTGTTACCAAATTCAAGATTAAATTGGGAAAAATACTATTCCCAAATGGTAGTTCTAAAAGAAAAATCAAAGCAAAGCATTGAGAATTGACCAAACATCAAGACACTGTCTTCTATCATAATATTTGACAGTGCTCATGACATGCTATTTGACATGACACTGCTCAGTTACACATTCCGATAAATGTAAAACATGAATATGACTCGGAGGTTTTGTGTTACCCCCCTCAGATTTTCATCTTCCTTCAGGTCACTTAAATACCCTTTACATGGTCTGATGTTCACTTCTTCAGAAAAACTGTAAAACAACACCTTAATAATTTCTTTACAAACACTGGGAGGGGGAAAAAAAAATTCTCCAGTTACTGGAAAGATGGCAAAAGGCCACAGAACAAAATAGTATTTATGTGGTTCAATGGAAATTTTCTGACTCTTTTTAACCACTTCATTTGTACTATCAAAAGCCTTCAAAAACAATCATCCATCCTTCATTTTTATCAAAAAAAAAAAAAAAAAAAAAAAAAAAAAAAAAAAAAAAAAAAAAAAAAAAAAACAGAACTCTTTGGATAACCCAATATACAAGTAAAACAACTGCATTTATTATAATTAATAAATAAAAAATTAATGCTTGGTTAGGTACTTTCATATCTTCCTGTTGACCATGAAGGTTCATGAAGATCATCTCAAATTTGTGCCAATTATTCTGATAACAGTTTGATCACGAGATAAATTGATTGCTCTTTACAATAATTAACAGAAACAATATTACAGATATAACAAATAACAAAAATTAGATTATGAGCTCACGCTTTGAGGTTATTTAATAATTAAATTCATTAAAACTCATTCTAGTCAAGCACAGTGGCAACCCTAACTGTATGCTGTCAAGCACAGTGGCAAAAGTCTAGCAAATTTGGAACAGTGACAAAATAGTCAGCTTTTTGGCTGAGTTTCACACATATTTGCTACATATTTAAACAGTTGCACAGTGTTTATCATAGCATTTGCCAAACCACAGTCTTTAAATGTTTTGAATATGCACGCCTACATAACCAGCTCCACAATTTTGAAAATATTCCACAGTTTGTTATTCTGTAGAAGGGAGATCCCGAATTTTTAAACATTTTTTTAAAATGCAAGACAAAAATCAGAAAAACAGTAGTTCATGTATAGCCTTCTTTACAAAAACTAAATAGGTTTACTGTGGATCGTGATTATAAAACCAAAGCTAAATGTTTTGACATTACATTTATCAATTACTGGTGTTGAAATATAATGTTTGGACAGAGTTGGTTTCAAAAAACAATTAGAGAAATGTATGTAAATACTTTTAATTTTGCATGAAGGGATGATTATTTATTGTAAAAACCTAACAAGCCTAAATAATAAATATTATTATGAATTATAATATGAGTGTAAATGTCATTTGTTTCTATTTGGAAATGCATAGTTGGTATCTTTTTATTCAATTATGATTTTGAACTTGAAAAGAACAAAATTACTATTTAAAAAAAAAAAAATAGTATAAAGGGTACCTTTTCTGCTGATGGGGGCACTAAATGTGCACCAAAGCACCAAATATGGTAGCTTTTTTATATTTCACTGTGAATAGCTGTGCAATATTTAATATTAACAGTGGCATAGTGCACATTAAACATTATATATAACAAACATATATTACCTCTATTATCTTGTGTACCTCTATTATTACATGATCCATTACTGTTATCACAACATCATTTTTCCCCATCAAGCTTTACATACAGTTAGGGTTGCCACTGTCTAGTTAGATTTTGCACCAATATTTATGTTTGGCGTTAAGTAGCACCTTGTTACTACTTACAAAGTTAAATGAATATTATCATACCTGATAGAATAACTTTCAGTACTTTTCCGTTTCACCGGCGCAAGTCTCGCCAAGCAGATAGATGGATTACTCAGTTATGGCAAAGCACGATCTGCCTAAAGGGAGAAATGCCTTTCATGGAGGACAATCTAGGGGAAACTGGCTCGTATACACGTTACACATGGAGAAAACCACGAAAACGCCCATGCAGCCAGCCCGTTCGTGGAATTTGAACCTCAGACCGAACTACCAGTGTTCAGCATCTTTACCACTCAGCCGCTGGTAGACACTCTCGCCAAGCAGATTTTATTGGTGACAACACACAGCATACACATAAAAAATTTTAACAAATGTTAGTTCTAAGAAAATTTTATTTTAAAGGCATAAACTTTTTAATATTGTTTAAAATTTTGTAAAAAACAATAAATAAAAACCATAAATTTGTAAAAACGCATTAATTTAAGAATTACTATGCTTTAATGGTACAACATCCTGATCCACCGTTTCATATCACGTGACCCCAAGTGATCTATCTCAACTCACGTAAACTATGCTACATAAATCTAATTCTGTCAGTAATTATCTACTTAATTTCAAGTTAAATCGTGATTTGGAATACAAGTTTAAATGCAAGAATTATTTCAATTCGTACGAACAGCTTCTCAGAAATTACGTAAAACCGCAGTGCTTTACTTCGATAATGCATCCTCATTCGAATTGATGAATTTAACCCTTGACATTGCCTTTTCTATATTTTCGCCTTCGGATGAGTAGTGTGATTGCATCCTAATTGACTTAATTACTGCGAAGGGTCTTAGGGCATAAAATTGAGCTATCTGGTAAAAATTCTATGTAACTGTATGCTAGTATTGAAAGAAATAATCAATCTGACAAGAAATGGCTGCGACTTGTTTTGAAAATGAGGCAGAAAAGGTTAACAGCGAGGATATTCTGTTTGGCATTAGTTGTACCATTTTTGGTGACTTTATCGCTTGCGCCGGCAAAATGGAAAAGTACCTAACTTTCTCAGCTAAAAACCTCAATTTTTAAATCATTAAAAAATTTTTTAAATTAAATGATACTTATAAACACAGCATCTGAAATGTTGATTCTTTATACCGTTAAGTTCTAAGTTTCTTGATATTTTACTTAACATTTATACACATTTATATGCATTTAATAGCCAAGTTTGAAAATCTGGTAAGTAATTGATTTGCTTATGAAAATAAATCCATAATCAGATTTTGTAAATATTTTCAATTTACCAAATTTAATTACTTTATGCAGAAACATTTGGTACTTAATTTGTATAAATTTCATATTTTTAAAAAATGAATGAAATCAACTTACTTTTCTAAAATCTTTTCATTATTTGCATCTACTTTTTCATACACAAGAATTTCTTCAAAACTTTTTTCATACCTGAAAATATTTTTAAGCACTGTTATTCCAAAATTTATTATATCATTATTATTCTAAAATGTATTACTCAGAAGTACAGACTTTACAAATGTTTTATAAAACTAAGATTACTATTAAACTATAAATACAAGTAGATTTAAACCATACTGTAACTGCAATTCACATATACCAGAAACATCAGATCCAATATTAATTATGACACATGACAAATCTCATAAGAGAATAAAAAAATTTTATATTACAATATTAAAAGATATATAAATTAAATTAAAAGTATAAATAATACAAATTTGCATTTACCAGCTTTGAACTAATGCTACTGAGGGCATCTGTAGTAAATTTTCTGGTAATAGCTGTATTTCCTTCATTATATTTGCCAAACGAACAGGAAGTTCTTTTCTTAAAAAGATAAATGAAGTCTTTTCACATGCCTGGCGACCTTAAAAACAAAAGCAGAATATTTAGAGAAAAAACATGAAGAAACATGATAATAAAAGACATCAAAATATAAAACATATTTTAATAAATACTTCAGTTTTCCACTGAGAAAATAGAATTACCAAACAAACAAAAAACAAAAAAAAAAAAAAAAAAAAAAAAAAAAAAAAAACTAACAAAAGAACAGTTTTGAAACTGTGATGTAAAATCACCTTAATTAAGATTTTTCAAGCAACAAATTTTAGAATTAACAGCATTAATTTTATTTAAATTCAGTCAAAGACTGATACTAGTCATACAAAAAAATTCTATGAATTTTGAAGGAAACTGACATGATCTTTCTTATTCAAGGAGCAAAATATTATGCAATATTTTTGCAAATCAAAGATGAGGAATTTATGTCCACCTTCTTTCAAACTTGCGGAAATATCTTCCCCCCCCCAAAGGCATTCTTAAGTAGAATTTTGCCCAGATTTAAATTTCGACTTTACATGCTTCTCTTTATCAGGTGCTTTTTTCTAAACATGTTTATTCTTCAGTTATTTACTGTTCATTATGTTTTCTCTGAACACTGATTTAATTTATGTAACTAAACAAACTTATTCTCCAGATTAACCTGTTTGGAAATACAGATAAATTATAAACTGCTTTTTTCTAAAATTATAACATAGGTTATTTCTCTTTCCATTTAATTGCCTTCAGATTAACTGTGATTCTAAATTAATCATTTATGTAACTTCTGGTATTCAGGAGGTGATTGCATATTAGAAAATTTCAATTAAGAAATAAAATTTATTAAAAATTTAGTCATAAATGTCTGGGTACTTTTTTATTATTAACACCCTCCACCCAAAATGCTGGAAAAAAAAAAAAAGAGAACTGCTGAGCAATGTACTATCATGCTATCAAAAACTATTTATGTGGTAACCAGGATATGCACACAGTATCCCTCCAGACAATTTTCCATTTTAAGAATATTTTTGCCAGTGTGACAGCAGATTATAATCTCTCCTACATGAATTTCAGCTTTTTTGGCATAGTTATAGGCTGTATATTGCAGTTTTTGATTTGACTTTGATTAATAAAGACTTCAGTGAACACAGGTTTACAACATACATTATATTCTGGGTCATGTGGAAAGTTCTGAATTTAGTAAAATCTTGAATTTAGTTTTCTAAGTGCACACAACATAATGCAGCTCATATAACACTTAAAAAACTGAAGTTTTCACTAACTGTATGCTTAAAATACCAAAATGCTCATCAACGTCCATTACCCACCTTGTCTGCTTCCTCCCCTTTTCATCCATTAATGCACAAAGAGGTGTGGAAATTTCAAATGACATTCTTTCTACTTCCTGACAAAGAAGCTTCCATTAGCCTTTTAGGAAAAGCTGTTTGGCTGATCTTTAGAATATGGTAACTGGTAGTTTGACGACATTTTGGAGGCGATAAAGGTTACTACCTGGGACTTTGGTAATAATGTGAGCAGTACTCAGTTCCGATTACGCATTATTTTGTGTGAGGGAAATGAGAGATCATGGGATATGTCATGTGATATTAATGGACGAATTACGGTTCTTTAATCGGAAAAGGGGGGAAATTGGGAAAAAATCTGGAAATTTTGTATTTGGCTTTATTCTGTGTTGTGTGAAACAGTGTTCGTTAATTTTTGGATCCCATGGCCCTAACTAAAGTGAATTCGAAATGGGTATTTAGTGGGATTGAAAGGGGTAGTAATAAGTGTTTCTTTAAGGTTGTGCGAGATAGAAGTAAAGATGTTTTATTAAGTTATTTATTTTACCTGGTACCTTGCTGTGAACTATAAGTATGATTTTAAAGATCCTGAAACAGAAATAAGGAAAGTTTATCGGACACGTAATCAAGATTCTGAAGAAGATTAGGTAAGTTAGTATTTTTAATTATTTGAGGATATTATTTTTATGCATTGTTCTAAATGTAAGGTGGAAGTAAAGTAATTTGGTATTATTGGGAAAATTGTTATTAGCAATGATTTAGTTTAAAGTAATTAGGATTGTAAGCTAATTTTTATTAATTTAATGTATGTGCTTATTTATATTTTAAGTAGTGTTTTTTGAATTTAATTATATTTTAATTAAATGATAGTTATTTTGTGAATTTTATGTTTGTAGGAATTTGGTATACGTTTTAGTTAAAGTAAACGTGCATGGAAATAATTTAAATATTTGACACTAAGTATATTGTAATGCTTGCGGTATGAATTCGTTGGTGACGTGTATAATATAATAGATGATTTAGAGGTAAACGTTTTTGGATATTTTATTTATTTTATATGTGGAAATGTTCATATTTGGAAAGGGTATATACTTTTTCGCGATCAGGTAATTTCATTATATGTTCTTTTTACCGGGTTTAAAGATTCAGAAAATTGTCATGTATTTTCGTGAAATTTTTCTAATTTATGAGAAAAAAGCAGTGTACATGGATATAGTGAAGAGTGTGCGCAATGCCATTTTTGTGTAATTCTGGGATGTTTTTTTAAGTAAAAATAAGTCGGCGTGTACATGGTTTATGTGTATGTGTTATTTTGAAAAAAGCGTAAGGAGTATGGTATTGTGCACTTTTTCCCAATTTTGCAGTGAATATTTGTCATGATTAAGCAGTTTTGTTAGATAAAATTTCTAGCATAAGTGTAATTCGGCTAGTAGATTGTTGGAAGAAGTGTTCAGTAGATAAAAAGAAAAGAAACATGTCTTTACTTCGTGAAGACAAAATGGCGGCGGGAAAAAAAAATAGAGGGTTGCTGTAGGAGAGTTGGTCGCCAAATTTTCGCCAAAAATCGCCAAGTTACCATAATCTAAAGATCAACCCTATCTGCAATAAACTGATACAATGCATTTGGGGGAACTGCATACTTTAGGAGAAGGGAAGAAAACAATATTGCAATCTTGGCCATTTCGGGCAGTTGTGGTTATTTGAATGAAAGCCGTCCTTTTGGCCTTCAAAGGGTTAAAGCTATGATAAGCATCTCTTTTTCTTTCTCATTTTAGGATTTTTGTGTGCAATGCTAAGTTTGTACATTCTGTGATTTTATTTTAGCGAAAACAGATTGCTGTGTACATGAGAACAATACTGCAGAAACATCTTACATTGAAAAAGTAGAATATAATAAAATAAGTAGCATTGGATGCATTGCTGAAACAGATGGAAAGATACCCAACTAAACATTTCTCTCCAAAGTCAGCAATGAATTCAAGAATGATTTCCAAAGTCGCTAAAAAGCTTGCAACTTTTCAGTAAGAGTGCAGATAAACAGAAAGTACCCCTCTTTATTGCTTTCCAGATCTATAGAGCAAATGAATTCATCACCACTAAAAACATGGTTTTCTGTTTTCTGTACTTATCCATTCCAAAGGGTCATCCTTTTATTCTTTAAAACAGTCTACAAATTCATTGTCAATTAGTGTTACTTTCATCTTTAACATATGAAAATAAAATTTTTTGATTATAATAGGCCATTAAATTAATCATAAGGAGAAAGGCCAAAGTATCAATCACATAAAAGAATTCATGAAAATTACTGATTACACTCTCTAATGTCTACATTATCCCAATGGTTTCCTCAGATTGATCGCATGCTCAGTTAACAGGTGACTTTAATTAATAAAGACTCAGTGAACACAGGTTTACAACATACATTATATTCTGGGTCATGTGGAAAGTTCTGCGGTTTTTCAAATCAAAGTTTGTTTTCTTCTAATTATTTGTTGATGGGGAGTGAACTTGACTAAAGCAGATGCTTAAACACAATTTTTTCTGCTCATGTTACATAATTCTAACACGTGTTATGGCATAATTTTTGTTTACTGCAGTGCTATGACTGGAATATCCAAAAATGAATTTTTGGATTTTGCGGCTTTTCAAATCAAAGCATGTTTTCTAATTATTCCATATCTTTAACTAGCTCAGTCGGTCTCTGGCTGAATTTAGACCTTACATATACAGTATAACATACTATTTCAATGGGAAAGTGGAAGAACTATCCTTTTTCCAGCACATCCAGTAGCTAATGAAAATAGAGATAATGCTAGAAACAATATGAAAGTATGGAAATAAATTTTAATGGAGAACTGTAGCTTAGAAAACTAAGAGACAAGAGCCCAACGCTTTATGACCACGAAGCCCTGCCAATATAATTCTAGCTGTCAAGCAGAATGCGACTGAGGAGGAAAAATCTATTTCCCTGAATACAATCCGATGACAAAATGAGAATAAATGTAAGGTCTGCATAAGTGATAATTTTTGTCCCCTGTATTTGGTTACATAGCTCAAGTCTGCATGAGCTCTACAGCGAGAGATCACTAGTACTGGATAAAGATCAAGGTAATCACTGTTAATACCTTCGGGAACAAAACTTATTTATTTATTATTTTTACTTACTTTCATAAATTTATTGCACTACCTAGAGAATAAGCCTTTGAGATGTGGATGGGACTTTTCTTTCCTTAAAAGTCTTAACCTCCATTAAAGAATTTGTTCCCCAGAGAAAGACAGGCATGAATTCAGAAGTTACAATGGATTTTAAAGGTATATATTTATTTTTCAGATAAAATTTATTTGCTGAAACTGTGTTTCACTTATATAAAAGAAACACTGGAGACCTTTCATTTGAGGCTCCAGCTAGAATTACGATTTACCTGAGAAACTGAGTAGTACAGTGGCCAGGTTCAAGCCTAATTTAAGGTTTATATGCAGTTTAGAAGCTATCAGACAAGATAAATAATCCAAAAAGTACATGGTAGTGATCGTTTTAAGAAAGATTAGATATGTACACAATGACCTATTTTCATGCTATGCTGCACGGGTACCCTATGCATACTCTTTTTTAGTGAGCAGAGTATGCTTGCTCGAGTTTCCGGTTATTATTCTTTGTTGCAAAGAAATAAATTGCTCATTTCATTATTGGGATCGGAAGTGGATATTATATAATAATGTTAAAAGAAAAAGATAATAGAATAAGCCAAATGAATCTCCTTCTTCAGTATCAATGAGGACAGTGATTCTTAAAAAAGTAAAGCTTTGTGTATAGTTGGAATAAAAAGAAATTGTATATTATGAATTGTTGCCAACAAATCAAACACATTCAGAAAAATACAGTTCCCAAATAGTAGTTTTAAAAGCAAAATTTGAAGCAAAGTACCCAGGGGTGAAGTGCAGAATCGTTCACTTATTTAGTGCCTTTTACAAGAGTAAGAAGAATTGGATTTTTGTCAATTTCATTTGACTTTTTAAGTGAGAATATATCGATGTGTACATGGACAAAGTCAAGGGAGTGCACAATGCAGAAATTGTGAAATTCTGTTTTTTTTAAAAAATGAAAATAGGTCATTGTGTACATGGATACCGAGTTTGTGCAATTCTTAAAAACACGCCAAGCAGTGGGTGAATCTGCATTTTCTCCGTACCCAGAATTGAGCAATCATCAAGGTATTGTCTTCCATCACGACAATGCTCAACCTCGCATTTTAATGAGTATAACACAAAGACTTTATAAATATGGTTGAAACATTTTGCATCACGTTCCCACATTCACCAGACTTTGTCCCCTCAGATTTTCCCCTTTTCAGATCAATAAATTTGTATGAATGGCATGGAGTTCACTTCTTGGGAGACTGTCAAAAAGCACCACAATAACATCTTCACGTACTCCACTTATCCAAAGAACTTTTTTTTAAAAAAGGATTTTTCCAACTGCCAGAGAAATGAGAAATGGCAAAATGTCATAGAATAAAATGATCCTTATGTGATTTAAAATTTTGGTACTATTCCGTTTCGAGGGCCGTAAAAAATCGCCAAACTATTGATGCCAATGCTGCCAAAAATAATTGCGGCAAGGAATGAAGTATAAAAGTAAATAACTATTTTAGATTGATGTTTTAACTTAGATGAAAAGTTTATTTCATATAATACTTTTTATTATTATAATTTATATGAAAAAGGCTAAACATGACTGATTGGAAGCATAAGAGTAAATAACTATTTCAGATCATTATTATAATTTATATCAAAATTGCTAAACATAACTGAATGGATGCCCGCATCGCTGTTTCGCTACAGCATAATTTCATCTCGTTGCTTGTTCAAACATTATTTTCTATAATGAATAATGCCTTTTCTTTAAAAAAAATTCTCAGTAAAGTGCAGAATCGCCCACTTATTTGTTTGCCGCTTTTTATGAGGGTAAAAAACAATTGGATTTTTGTCAATTTTCTTTTACTTTTTAATTGAAAATAGGTCGATGTGTACATAGATAAAGTCAAGGGTGTGCACAGTGCCCTTTTTGTGCAATTCTGAGAAATTGTTTTTAAGTGAAAATAGGTCAAGTGTACATGGATACCGAGTATGTGCAATTCTTAAAAACATGTCAAGCAGTGGGGGATTCTGCACTTTACCCAAAATTCTATTGCAGACTTTTCGTCATGGGCAATTTCCAAATTGTTAAATCCATAGTATATCAAAAAAGAATTTAAAAATTAAACAAGTACTTCAATGGTATCTTAAGAAATATAGAACTATATAAACTTACGTAATCTGAAATCAGCGCATACGCTAGATTTGGCGCTCTGTTAAATGGGCACGTTTGCTAGATTTAGCGTTTTTGCGCGTACATTTTCGCTGCAATTTTTTTTATGGCCCTCGAAACCGAATAGTACCAACATTTTTTTTTATATTTTTATACGGTTTCATTTGTTTTTATAATAAAAAAAACCTGATGGCGGAATACAAAAGATGCATATTAATTTTAAAAGCTTGCAAAATACTGGTTTTAGTTAGGTAATGATATCAATAACTATCATAAGTACATAATAAGTACACTGCAAAAAAAAAAAAAAAAAAAAAAAAAAAAAAGAGGGGTACAGTTCTATATCTCTTGTTCTACTGGGCCGACTGACAAAATTCAAATTGCATTTTCCATTTAAAGCACGACTTAGGATATATGGTTTAATCCTAGTATCCGGTGCACACGGGATTTGACGACTTTATGATGAGCAGTAAAAACGGGATATATGTGATGAGTAGTTAACGGGTCATTAAAAGAAAATATATAGTTAAACAGAGTATATACTATGTATATAGTACATATACTATGTGTGTATATACATATACTATGTGTATATAGTATATATATAGACGTTCTTTGGATCATTTTTGGTATTGGCGATAATTTTCAAAGTCGCGCCAAGGCTGCACCGCATACTAGGATTTTACCAGGATATATATTAGACTTATATATAGTTTCACAAGAATAGTAAAGTTAAATTTAAATAATTTTCTTGTGCCATTGCTGCAAGGAATGAAATTTGAATTTACCAAATATTCTCTATTCGTATAAATAGAATTTAAATATATATATAAATTTAAATTAATATCTATTATAAATTAAAAATTTAATGAAGAAATTTTAATTGCAAAAATTAAAAAATTATTATTGCTGCGAACTAATTTACAATATCATTTAAATTCTAAGAGCATATGTAAATTAAGTGCACACATCTAAAACCATGAAAAAATATATAATTCCAAAAAATTAATTTCAAACATTTTTTTAAGGAATTTCTAAGATCAAATTAATTTGTATAAGTGAATAATTATTGAGCAGGCAGGAGACAGACTTATCAAGGGGAAGTTACCTCCAAAACCTAACTCTTCAATTACTCAATTCGTGTTTTGCCATCCATATAGGCAAGGGTATAGTTAAATTCAAAACCAAAAGTAAAATCAAATGTTGTGAATTACTAAAAAAGAAATTAATTTCTTTTAAAAAATGGGCAAATTTTATTTTGAATGAACCTAAATTTCAAAATGTGAAGGAAGAATCAAATAAGTTTAATAAAAAAAGAGATGGAAAAAAAATTGGCATGTCATTTCAGAAAAAGTGGGATTTTGTGTCAAAATACCTGTATTTGAACAATGCTATATATTATATATATAATTACAAAATAATTTTTTTAAGAAAACAAAACACAAACATGCCTAGTTATTTTCGTGCATTAAGCTGCAGAAAATTATCATTAAAAACATAATTTAGAACTAATATTTCAGAAGGAGCAGAAATTGAAATTCATAATTAATAAATTTCAAATAATCATAGAAATGCAATAATAAATTAAAAAATTTTAAAACCAAAACATTTCAAACAAGCAAAACAGATCTTCAAAATTATAAAATTACAAGAAAAATTAACAAAACAGAAGAAGAATTCAATAAATCTCAATGATACTTCATCAGGGGGAAGGAACCTTGAAAATAATTGAAATCTCTCTTCTACAAAAATCCTTGCCTGTATCCAGATTTAGCCAATGAACCATTTCAATGTATTTAAATTATAATTATAATAGTTCATCCGAAAATTTCTGGCCTTTTCCCAAGGCAAGGGGAAAATTTTTTTGGTAAAATCCTAGTATACGGTGCAGCCTTGGCGCGATTTTGAAAATTATCGCCAACATAAAAAATGATCCAAAGAATGTCTTTAAACTATACACTATATACTATGTGTGTGTATATACATAATATATACTATATTTAACTATATATATTCTTTGAATGACCCATTTACTACTCATCGCATATGTCCCGTTTTTACTGCTCATCATAAAGTCGCCAAAAGTAGCCAAATCTCGTGTGCACCGGATACTAGGATCAAACCATTTTTTTAATTATAAACATTAGAATAATCTTAAAGAAAGAGAATTCTATCCCTTTAAAAACTGAAAACGAAAGTGAAAAAACAAAACTTGAGTGAAAAATTTTTAATTTAAATGTGAATCCCTAAACAGAAAATCCAATGAACCAAGATGTAGTTGAAAAACCTATTTAAAACATACAAAACGAAATTAAGAACTCCCTCTACTCTCATTACACTCTAGTTTAAATTATGAGTGCTATATAGAATGGGCGATTTACAACTGTCTTTTTTTTTTTTTTTAACACAGTGTACATTTTAAGAAACCTTTGAAATGTTTTTTAACTCTTCACCACAGACTAATAAAAAACTAAGGTTGAATTCTGTTAACCATGCTGATTAATTAATAAATCACATTTTTACCAAAAATTTTATCAGCAGTTTTTCATAGGATATTACAAACAGAGTTTGATTATGACAGGGCTGTATCCAGTTCCCACTTTTCTAGTTCTCGTGAGAGAAAAGTTTTAGGATGATTTCAGACCTTAACATATGAGGTCTAAGATAAGGCTCTAATTACTTGTACATCAAATCTGCATCTTGAATGCTAATTCTTCGCTTCGACAAGTTTATCAAAATTTAATCTTAAAGTATTTTGATAAAATAAATGCCAAATTTCTACATTTAGGCAATATAAGTACAAATGTGTATGCAATTTTCTGATTTGTTGCATGTTAAACATATGTTATCCCCTCACACACACACACAAACAAAAACAAAACAAAACAAAAACAAAAAAAAAACCTTAATTTTTTTTAAGTCACTTTTAATATGAAATGCTCCACTCTAAAATTTTATTTGTAGAAGCGTAAAATTCGGTTTTATTCATGTGTGTATTCGTCTTTCTGACAAAAAAAAGCAGCATATTTAAAAAATATCAGAAATACTTACCAAAATCGAGAAATTGCTTAATTGATAAAGGTGAAGGATTAAATTGAGAGTAAAAGTCCAGCATCTTAGAAATGTCTTTAAATAATTTCAGTGAAGTTCGCATGGTGACTAAATTTTGAAAATTAAATATTAGCAAAAACAAAAAACTAGGTTTAAAAACCAAAAGTTATGTACGTATGAAAGTAATATATTTATCTGAGTATTATTTCATATAAAAGTAAAAATGTCATTCTAGTTAAGCAACTTATAAATTCTACTCTGGTTAAGCAACTTATAAAAGGTCATAAATGCATAATACAGCTCATATTTCGCAACTGCCAAGTGCGCGAACAAATTAATCGCTTCCGCAATTCAACTTCTGTCCAGCGATTTAAATGCACAAAATGTAAACGTTTACTTCTCAGACCAAAGCAGCGCCCTTCACACTACCACCATCTGAGTTAGCATGCCAGGAAAAAAAAAAGTCGCTTGCTACAAGAATTATGAAATGAATCTCACACCGCTTCTACAAACAAACAAACAGAAACGATGCCCTAAATCACAACAGACACACTAAACTACCTACAAATGGTTCGTTGACGTAATGAAGGTGTGTCAGTGCAGAGTACAAGAAAGGTGTGTCGGTGCGCATCTTTTTTTCGTGACGTAATATTGGACTTTGGCGAGTAGTACGTGTGGCCTCGGGACTTTGGCATCATTACTGAGCGACAAGTCGCTACCCAAGAGGAAGAATGGAAGATTGGGAATTAAATGCACGATAAAAATGCAACGAATAAAATATTAGAACGGCATATAAAAATTATAATATACTGAGGAAATCTAAATGCTCCTGTTGATTTGGAGAAAAGACAGTACTATGCACAACTTGGCTGAAATGAGGCACTAAATTTTGCGAAATATATTCTGATGTTTTTTAAACAACATCAGAAAAATTAAGAAAGTTTTTTAAAGAATATTTTACTAATGTGAATCTTTAGGGGCTCTAGTTTTAGCCTGTATTTCAGTAATGATGCGCAGAATTTTAACACTTTTTTTTTGACTTAGCTGACACAAAATTTTCCTTTCCTATTACATAACCTACTTGTTTTGGGTTATGAAAAAGGGAAGCAAGAAAGCAATTGTAACAAATTCTTATGATTTTCTCCATTATAATTGTGAGTAAACTGTCCTACGTCAACTAAAAATTTTCTTTTCGTAACGAATATTATTCTTGTTTTTGTTTATTTTAAAATATGATTTACAAGTACAAAAATTTATATAAGTTTTTTTATTTATTTTAAGTGTTTTTATTTTGTATTGAAGTTGTTTCAGAATTCGTTGCTTTTAATTTTCTTTCTGAAATACACTGACTAATCAAAACATAACAGCTGTAACTGTCTTTGTTATCCGGTGCAGTTTGACATTTTTTTTTTTTTTGTTTGTTGTTGTGTCTACATTTTTAGTATTGTGTTCAATAATGGCAGACATAGATCCTGCGGCATTAATATCCGAATTTTGCAAAGTTACTGGCACTGATATTTCGCAAGCACGGCATTTTTTAGAAGACGCTGGATGGGATAGCGACGTAAGATGTTAAATTTATAAAGTGAACATACCACTCTAGAATCCGTAATGCATTCTATGATGATTGCGAAATTTAGATTACATTTTGGTATAATTTAATTGCATTTAAATTTATTTAATTTTCATAGAACTTTTAAGTAATTTTACTCTGTCAGAGTTTTTTATCTATAAATTTAGACGAGTTTTATAAAAGGCGGATTTCTGTTTTGATTGTTTTTTTTTCCTCTGTAGCTTGCAATGTCAAGATACTTTGAAGAAACTGAAGATAAATCCAGTGACGATGATCCTGTATTTCAGAGGCCTGGAAGCCCAAAACCTCAAATGCCACCTAATAACAGTTCCAGGTAAATTCATTATGCATGTTTATGACCTCAGTCTGTGTAAAATTTTAAGTTAATTAACTTTTTAATGTAAAAATTAAAAAAAAAATCACTGTAATGAATTAGTTCATTTCATGAGTTATTGTTGGTGATAGAATTTGTAAATCTCATTCATCTTTGTCTCAAAACAAAAACTGCACCAAGAAATGGCTGGTGCAGTTTATTTCTGCCAATTTCACATTTAACATGATTTTTGTATATTTAATATGGAGCATTTGGTTTGAGTAGATTTGAGGGTGCCCCTTGGATTATCGCTAAGTTGTTCCATTTATCGCCAAGTTGTTTTTCATTTATCGTAACCTGAGTAGCTGAATGTTAGGGAAACCCTATTATGACGTAATTGGTTGCATGATTGTGGTCAATTTGAATGATGGGAAAAGATTTAAGAAGTGTATGTGGGATTTTGTATAAGAAGTACATTGTTATTTTGTGGTTTACACAGTAAAATGTCTGAATGTGGTAAGATTAATTTGAAGTTTCTGTACAGTTTAGAACGAAAAGGAAAAAAGCATTAATTGACTGGTGTATAAATGAAGATTTACTTGGTAGCCATTTTTAGGTGTCCTGTTTGTTGGAAGGAAATGTGCGTGGTTGAATGTTGGACGATACCATCGCTACAGAGAATATTTTTGTCTTTTTATTTTTGTGAATTTACGTGGCGACACTAGTATACAGATTCTAATTCAGATAATTCTGGGAAGTTTTTGGACCCTGTTAAGGAATTGGGGAAAGTGCAGAATCACTCACTGCTTGGTGTGCTTTTAAAGAATTGCACATACTCGGTATGCATGTACACATCGACCTATTTTCACTTTAAAAATTCCATAAATTCCACAAAAATGGCATTGCGCACTCCCTTGACTTTATCCATGTACACATTGACGTATTTTCACTTATAAAGTGAAAGAAAATTGACAAAAATCCAAATCTTCTTACTCTTGTAAAAAGCACCAAACAAACGCCAATCAAATAAGTGTGCGATTCTGCACTTTAGCCGTTTGTTTTGATTAAAGATGTGTGAATTGGATATTTCCCTTGTGTAGTGCTAAGATGAATTTTATGTTCTTTCATTGTTTGATTTAAAATGTAGTTTATTGAGATTATAGATTTTTTGTTGGCTGTTCCTTTGAATTTTTAGGTGAAAATAGATTGATGTGTACATGGACCAAGTTAAGGGAGTGCGCAATGCCTAGTTTGTGGCATTCTCCGAGTTTTTTTAACTGAAAATAGGTCGATGTGTACTAGCTACGAGTTGTGGATTTTTGACTGTTATTTGGATTTGTGTAGCAGGGATTTTTGGTGCAAAAATTGCTGCTGTACCAAGCCAAAATAACAAGTCAAAGGACTGCACAAACTCTGCGTCCATGTACCACCAATTATTGCCAAGGGGCACCCGTAAATATATTTTCCTGAGCATTTATTTAATATGGATGAAATAAGAAATATTTCGGTTAGAGTTGACTTTAGGGTACCCCTTGTATTATCGCAAAGTTGTTTCATTTATCGCCAAGTTGTTGTTTCATTTATGGTAGTCTGAGTAGTTGAATGTTATGGAAATCCTATTTTGACATAATCGCTTGCGTTATTCTGTGAAATTTTGAATTGTGGGATGTTTTGTAAGGGCTTTTGTTGTGCGTGAAGTTAGGAAGTACATTGGTTGTTTCATTGTTTGGACTGAATGTAGCAAGTTATTTGAAGTTTTTCTTTCTGGAAAGGGGAAAGTCATAATTGGCTGGTGTAATGAAGGTTTTACTTAGTAGCCTTTTCCGGACAGTCCGGAATACATAGGCTCTTATTTTTGTGAATTTATGTGGCTACGCCGATATATGGATTCATATTTAGATAATTTTAGGAAGTTTTTGGATGCTGTTAAGGAATTGGCTGATCTTTGGAATATGGTAACTGGTAGTTTGGCGACATTTTGGAGGCGATAAAGGTTACTACCGAGGACTTTGGTTATAATGTGAGAAGTACTCAGTTCCGATTATGCATTATTTTGTGTGAGGGAAGTGAGAGATCATGAGATATGTCATGTGACATTAATGGACGAATTACAGTTCTTTACTCGGAAAGGGGAGGAAACTGGAAAAAAAATCTGGAAATTTTGTATTTAGCTTTATTCTGTGTTGTGTGAAACAGTTTTGGTTAATTTTTGGATCCCATGGCCCTAACTAAAGTGAATTCAGAATGGCTATTTAGGCATTGTGATAAAGAGAATTTTCCTTTTTATTTAGCAGAGGAACTATGGAGGAAAAATTCGCAGATTAGGTAAGTTAGTATTTTTAATTATTTGAGGATATTATTTTTTGCATTGCATTTCTAAATGTAAGGAGTAAATAAAGTAATATGGTATTATTGGAAAATTGTTATTAGCAATGATTTAGTTTAAAGTAATTAGGATTGTAAGCTAATTTTTATTAATTTAATGTATGTGCTTATTATATTTTTAAGTAGTGTTTTTGAATTTAATTATTTTAATTAAATGATAGTTATTTTGTGAATTTATGTTTTGTAGGAATTTGGTATACGTTTCAGTTGGAAGTAAACGTGCATGGAAATAATTTAAATATTTTGACACTAAGTATTTGTAACCATTTGTAATGTTTGCGGTATGAATTCGTTGGTGACGTTTATAATATAATAGATAATTTAGAGGTAAAAGTTTTTGGATATTTTATTTATTTTATATGTGGAAATGTTCATATTTGGAAAGGGTATATACTTTTTCGCGATCAGGTAATTTCATATATGTTCTTTTTACTACGGGTTTTTAAAGATTCACAAAATTTTCATGCATTTTCGTGAAATTTTTCTAATTTATGAGAAAAAAGCAGTGTACATGGATATAGTGAAGAGTGTGCGCAATGCCATTTTTGTGCAATTCTGGGATGTTTTTTTAAGTAAAAATAAGTCGACGTGTACATGGTTTAGTGATATTTTAATTAAATGATAGTTATTTTGTGAATTTTATGTTTGTAGGAATTTGGTATACGTTTAAGTTGAAGTAAACGTGCATGGAAATAATTTAAATATTTGACACTAAGTATTTGTAATTTGTAATTTTGCGGTATGAATTCGTTGGTGACGTTTATAATATAATAGATAATTTAGAGGTAAAAGTTTTTGGATATTTTATTTATTTTATATGTGGAAATGTTCATATTTGGAAAGGGTATATACTTTTTTTTTTTCGCGATCAGGTAATTTCATATATGTTCTTTTTTTACCGGGTTTAAAGATTCACAAATTTTTTTTTTTTTGCATTTTCGTGAAATTTTTCTAATTTATGAGAAAAAAAGCAGTGTACATGGATATAGTGAAGAGTGTGTGCAATGCCATTTTTGTGCAATTCTGGGATGTTTTTTTAAGTAAAAATAAGTCGACGTGTACATGGTTTATGTGTATGTGCTATTCTGAAAAACGCGCAAGGAGTTGCGATATTGTGCACTTTTTCCCAATTTTGCAGTGAATATTTGTCATGATTAAGCAGTTTTTTGTTAGATAAAATTTCTAGCATAAGTGTAATTCGGCTAGTAGATTGTTGGAAAAAGTGTTGAGTAAATAAAAAGAAAAGAAACATGTCTTTACTCAGTAAAGACAAAATGGTGGGGGGAAAAAAAAAAAAAAAAAAAAAAAAAATAGAGGGTTGCTGTAGCAGAGTTGGTCGCCAAATTTTTGCCAAAAAATCGCCAAGTTACCATAATCCAAAGATCAACCAAGGAATTTTGTGTGCCACAGACTGAATATGAAGGGATTTCTAAATAAGGTAAGTGGATATTTGCTTTGTTAGTACTTAAATGCATAACGTTTCCTTTTTTATGTTTTTTTATTGTTTGGTTAAATGTGTTTTGAGATTATGTATTTTTTGTTTGCTGCTACTGTAGAATTGGGTGCTCTTTAAACATTTTTAAAAAAAAATAAGTACATGGACAAACTCAAGGGTGTGCTCAAAGCCCAGTTTGTGCAATTCTCTAATATTTTTTTAAGTGAAAATAGTTCGATGTGTAAATGGATAAAGGGAGTGCACAGTGCCGTTTTTGTGCAATTCTGAGATTTGTTTTCACGTGAAAATAGGTCGATGTATACATGGATACCGAGTTTGTGCAATTCTTCGTCTTGTTATTTTGGCTTTGTGTAGCGATTTTTCCAGCAAAAATCACCACTACACAAGGCAAAATAACAAGTCAAAGAACTGCACAAACTCTGTATCCATGTATCGTCAAAAATCGCCAAGGGGTACCCTAAAATATACTTTTATCAATATTTCTTTTATTTAATATGTACCTATATCATTGGTAAGTAATCAATTAAACATAATGAAAATAATGTTTTTATGGATCAAATGGTGATTTTTAATGCAGTACAAAACTGGACTGAAAAACAACAAAGAAGTTAACATAAAAATATAATTCCGTTAAAATTTACACTCCAGTACTTCTTGGCTAATCGTCTCTTTTTTGATGCCAAGATCAGTGCCAGGAAGGATCAGCACCAATTTCAAGATGGTATTGAACCTTCCGCTCATTACACAAAACCAAAACAAGAAGTCAAAGGCTTGCACAAACACAGTGTCCATGTACACATCGACCTATTTTAACTTAAAAAAAAAATTAGAGAATTGCATAATCTAGGCATTGCGCACTGCCTTAACTTTGTCCATGTACACATCAAGGCATTACGCACTGCCTTAACTTTGTCCATGTACACATCAAGGCATTACGCACTGCCTTAACTTTGTCCATGTACACATCAATCTATTTTCACTTAAACAAAATCAGGAAACTAAAACAAAGTTAAAACTATCACGTTAACCAGAAAAAATTTGCCGCTGTCTTAATACACAGAGACAAACAGAGAGTAATAAATAACCAAAATACATATTTTGTAACATAAAAATATTAAACAACAAATCTTTTAATAAAAACTAACACACAGAGACGATTAAATAAATGAAACACCAATATTTTAACATACCTTTCACATGCATACGTTCATGCTCTCTACCACCATCTCCTCCATTTTCCATGTAAGCAATTCAATTAAATTTGGCTCATCTGCTGTTAATGGTGGATAAATATGTATAATAGTATTCAAGAAAGCCATAAATCGATTTCCCCCCTGGGCCTTCTTGCCCCACACATATTCGGCCAAATAATAGTCCAAGCCGTCCTTGGTTTTCCTCCTGGCTAAAACCGCATTTAACTGCATTCCACGTTCCTTCTATTTTATTAATGTTGGCACCTGTATCATGATCCTTAAATTGCAAACTATGATTTAGTGTTAGGTGTCCAAAGCCTTCATCTGAAAGGCAATTGTATGCCTTCCAGCTGTCAGAAATTATAGTCGTAATGTCAGACATACTCAAATTATTCGCACAATTTTTCCCAAGGCTAGTTTCGCCAACAGTATCAACATTAGGGTTACCCAAAAACCTATTTCACGCAGCGGGCTTCTAAATTTCATGAACAACCAATACCACTTGATGATTTTTTCTCACATACAATAAAGATAACCATATAATTCATTTAGCATTATAATTGTGCTATATTCAAGAGATTCTTCATTTACTAAGTATTTTGAGTTTTATTGTACATGTAGAGTCATTATCATACAGTAAAGATCAACCGTATAATTCATTTAGCATTATAATTGTGCTATATTCAAGAGATTGTTCATTTACTAAGTATTTTGAGTTTTATTGTACATGTAGAGTCATTAGCTTTGTTGAGGCTGAAAATATGAAAAACATGAATTTCCTTCCGTGGGATTCAAACTTTTATGTATTCAAACATCTATTTATTCAAACTATTATGAATGCTAACTGGATATGTTTCTAATGTCCATAAGCAGAGTCAGATTTAGACTTGATAAGGCCCTAAGCTATTTGAGATATTGGGGAGCTATTTGAGATATTGTTATAATATATTTTAATACTATTTATACTATATCTTAATTTTTTGTGGGGCAAGAATGTGGTGGCCCTAAGCTATAGCTTGTATAGCTTAAACGTAAATCCAGCCCTGTCCATAAGGAGGGAGAAAAGTGCCTTATAATCTATCCCAATTGGGCAACTGGAAGGCACAGATCCCGTTGCCAAATCCTGCTGATGACGAATTTTCATCCTCATATTTATCTTGCATATCCAGTCAAAAGTCTTTAATCCGGACTCGTCGGGACTTCAGCGATTATTAATTTTTCTGGATTATAGATCGACAGTTTAAATCTGGTAAGATGGCATGCAGAAATTATACAAATAAAAATATGAAATCGTAATTTATGAAATAAAGAGCAATTGTGATCTAAAGAGTATCAAAATTTACAAAAACAAAGCTTAATATTTATTTGCTTTATTAAACATTTCTTTCAACGCGCGCATGCATAAAGCATACATAATGCATAGTCGAAATTAGAAAATTGCAACCAGAAAACTATTTTATGTGTATTCGTTGATATTTATAATGACGAGGAAATTAATTTAAATCATTTAAATCATATTGGAGTACATCGAGATGAAACACTACATTTAGTAAGGAATTATAAGCCGAATAAAATAAAAACATCTGCCCTGAAGATGAGATAGTGCTAACATATCAACTTTTAGTTCATTGCGCGCCACGATGTACCCCCTCCCACGCAGAGCAGCGTTAAATTGATAAACAGATTTCGGAATGATTAGAGAAACAAATCACCTCTCTGTCACTTTCTTTCGTGCCTTTATCCATTTTTTGCAGCAATTCCACTTTTTGTTTAATGGACATCGAAACATGCTTTTGCTTTGTAGATCCTTTGGGTGCTCCAGAATTGGAAATTCTTTTTGACATAATCGAAAGTTCAAACTTACTTTTCATAAAATTGCTCTAACAGTTTGCAAAAAAAATAAGCCGGATCCAATTAAAAGATTAAGGAACAACGCAATTTGCAACATTAACTGAAATAGATAATTAGATAATTTTAGCTTAGCTTATACCGTCCGTTATACATTCATTAACCCTTTGATGCGCGCGATATTATTTTTATAATTTTTTAAACTAAAAAGTCTAAAAATTGAATATTATGATCCTAGAGACAAATAATATACGAATTTAAAAAAATCTACTCTTGCCCATTGTTCTGTGGGTGGTGGTCGCACTGTGAAACCACCGCGCGTCTAGGACTTTGAAATTTACTTAGGTAGTAGGAAAAAAAAAAACTTACCTTTCTCCATGCAAGTTTCCAATAAATTTAGTTTTTTATATTATAGTACTATCAATAATATTTTCTTCAATAACTTTTATACAAAGTTATGGCAGAGTAGTTAGTCATAGCAACTAAAAACACACACTGGGTTGGAAGGATATGACCAATGTTGTTTTTTCATTTTTTCATCAAAAAAATGTTGGAAAACAGGCTTTTGTCGACTTTGATAACATTACCAGTGGCACCTATTTTAACCGATGGTCTATATATTAATGTGTGGCCTCAGACTTCCCTTGTGTAACTGTTCACATAAACAACAGTGCAGTGAGTGGTTCATATTAAGTTGATACTGACCAAATTTAAGAGAACTTATTTGTAAAAACCAAGCCTAAATGAAAATCAGTTGCTGTTAATAAACTGATTCTCGTCCTTTTAACCAGTTTTGAGAACATAATGTTTTTTTTTCCACTTGGCACATCGTATTTTCATATATCCATTTTGGTGCTTTCTTCGAATCGAAGTAGAAGTTCATTTCATGGTTTTTCATGTACTTTCTTTCAATTTGAATAATTCTTCATTCCTGAAGAAGTTTTATGTGTTTATTAAGTTGTTAAGTTGTTTCATATTTATGATAAATACAATAATAAGAAAAACACAATTTATTGTTACATCTTTAGAATTTGTATTTTCGTTCTGAATTTTTCATTGTCAATTTTTAGAATTTGAATTTTCGTTGTCGAAGGCATTCATACTTTTGTAAAAAAAAGTAAACATGGATCACTTCATATCAACCAGGCTTTTGGCAATTTTAGCAAAACATTTTGATGGCAACTCCAGTCCTGATAACAGAACAATGCTGATCGTTCATTAATTGAAATCTTAACAATTATTACTTGGCCCAAATCCTTTTCAAAATTTCTGTAATCTGTGTAACTGTTCGGCATCATCTCTTTTACTGATCTTAATTACATTAAATTGTGTAGTTTTTTCATTTAAATAAAATTTCTTATATTACCTTGTATCTTGTTTTTATTATACATTGTAAGCACAGAAATATTAACAGAAATAAACATATGTAGTAATTTGTTTTAGGCATTTTAGTTTATATTAATTATTATAAAATTTAATAATTTTCTTATTTTTTGGTATTTTGGGAATTGGCATTAAGTTTTTGCAGTGGTTTGGAGTTTATACTTCATCTTTTTTTTTTTTTTTTTTTTTTTTTTCCCCCAGAATAGCTACGTTTGCTAGTTTAATGGGAAATCAAGCCACTGATGAGGAAGAAGGCCAGGCCTTTTATGCTGGAGGTTCTGAAAGAAGGTAAAATGCATTTTAAATATTTCACTCTTTCAATAATTATTTGTAATAATATAATATTCATCTGAGTCACATTTGCAAAACATGCTTAAATAAAGATAACTTTTCCAAAACCAATGATAAGAACTGTGAAATCCCTTTTCCCCCTTTTTATTTTCTTTCCCTTCCTTAAATTGTTGTTAGTAAGAGATTTAAAAATTTCAAAGTAACAATTTTCAATATACCATCAACTGAAAATGAAACTGCTGTATTCTTGTGAGAAAAGAATACTTTATCCTCCCCCCAAATTCGTAAAAACAGACATCAAATGAAGTTTTATATCACTGTGAATTCATTTGCTGATGTAATATGAAAAATTGCCAGAAAAAGCAAGGCTTTTGATAACTAGTTCGCTGCTTCAAAAATCATATTCTTGACAGTCGGTTTGCTTATTGTCAAATGCCTGTTGTCAGTTTTTTTGGCTAGTAAAAAATTAACTACAGCTAAATTAAGAATATCTAGTTTTTGATGTAAATTCTTTTTTTTTCTTTAAAATTTTCCTTTAAGTTTTATTATTTAACAGTGGTTTTTTTTGGGGGGGGTACGTTAAATTAGTGACATTTTTTTTACTTCCTTGTGCGAAGTAAAAAGGAAGTATTGTAATCGCAAAAAGTTTCAGGCAGCATATTTCAACGAAAATATCCATTTTGACCGCTATCGAATGCAATTTAACAATGTTTTTGCGTGATATCTGTACGTAAGGACAGAGTAAAATACTCTTTTCCTTCAAAAAAATTATAAAACTGCTTTAAAATTAATTCTGAATAGAATTTTTCGCGGCATCTGTACGAACGTATGTACGTTCGTTCGTACGTACGTACGTATCTCGCATAACTCAAAAACGAGTAGCCTCAGAACGTTGAAATTTTGTATATAGGACTGCTATAACAGGTAGATGTGCACCTCGTATTTTGGTTGCAATCGGCCGCACCAAACGTATATAAATATATTTAAATATATTTATATATATATCCACTCTGTTACCCGACTCAGTGATCTCAGTTTCTTTACTTTTATATGTTTGCAAATTGTACATTTTTTGTTTTAAAAATGATTGAATTATGTTGTTTTTATCTTCCGGTTAAGGATTTTATGCCTTTAGTAAATATGTGTGCAATATTTTTAGAATTATCAGCAATTTTAAAGTTGTTTAATTGCCGCTAAACCTGTTTTAATGTTGGCCATTGATGTTTACATTTGAAACAGGAGACTAGTGGATTTGTTGCCAATCTAGAGAAACTTAGCTTCGCAACAACAAAGATAACGCATTCATTTATTATTGCCAATTAAATCATGCTTAATTCTTTCTGGAAATTTTTTCGAGGAAATAAGCGTTTGAGATTTACTTCGTAATTTTTAATATAGATATTTTGAGTTTTTCTGTATTTTTGCCTTCTCGCGAAGTAAGAACTGAATTAATTAAATGAGAAATACTCAATCGTCTGTGAAAAACTGTTTCTTTTTTTTATTTGCTTAATTTCTTTATCCTAGTTCTAGCTTTATTAATATTTGAATAGAACTGTGGCAACGATTAATAATTCTTTAAATGATATACATTTGTGCATTCTGAGCTATAATATGAATGAAAGATAATACTGTTAAGTAAACCTAGCACCAGAGTGTCGCTATGGTAAACAAAGTAAATTTTAAAGAATGCATTTATTCTATTGTGGTTTATGCGCTGTCGGCGAAGTAGGTTTAATTCAATCTAATAAGTTTAAATAAAATGCAAGAAAAAATGCACATAATTTAATATTCAGTACAAGGAAGTCATGTGGTGTACACATCAGCTTTTTTCTTTTAGTTTTCCATCACTCGTAAAAACTACAAGCACCTATAATTTAATTAGATTAGATAAAATGTCAATTTAGTAAAAAAAAAAAATGTCATTTTAGTAAATTAAAAAATCGCTTTTAGTAAATAAAAAAACATGTCAGATTTATCCCATAATACTTCATAATAAAAAAAATGTCATGTTTAGTAAATAAAAAAACATACCAGATTAAAAAAAAAATCTGGTATAACAGCAATAAATCACTTACAGTGGTCTTTTCGTGTTAACTTCTTGTTAATCAATTTTTCAGCACAGTGATGCTCTAACTCCTTCTTAAATTTTTTATTTCATCCTCATGCATGTCACCTATTTTCAGTTTTCTGTGTTCTGTTCTTTTAAGAAGAGAAAATTGTATCATAGTCTTCATGAGAGCAGTCACGAAATAAAACTTCACAGCAAGCCTGCATGGTGTTGCACAGTTAAACAGTACCTAAAAAAAATAAGAGTATCCTTGATGGAAACTAGTTTCTTGGATCAATAATTATTTTTTTTTCATTGCATTATATTTTACTTATTAAGACCAGTTTACACATCTCTGGGCGATCCGCAGCTTGCTTCTTGCTACGACTGCTTTGACAGTGTAAATTATCATTTCGTCTAAATAAAGGAGATGAATCTGATTCCATTGTTTCAAACCAGCTGAAAATCTATCCGGGTAGTAACTCTGAGCAGTGTTCGCAGAGACATTGTGTCCAATTTTTCTGTCATGTTGAAAATGCCAAAATAAAGTAATAATCTAACTATGGCATTTTTTAATTCATATGCACCTTGTGAAGTATTATGGGATACTTCTACCTGAATATTATCACCCTTGTTTACTAATACCTAAATATAACGTTGATATAACTACTGATCAGAATGAATTTATGTTTTTTATATTGTAGAAAAAACATAGAAGTAAGTTAAGGTATCAGATTCAAAATATTTATTTTAAACATATTTATTTCTGAATTTTCTTTAATCAAAAAACAATTGAATTATATATTATTCAACTATAGAAAAATAAATTAAATGGCAAACATTTTGTTTCGTTGATATGAATTTCAAAAAACCAGTTTTTACTGATGGCCAATTACTCCTAATAAAATATAATCTAAAATTTTGAAAATTTTTATTTATAGACTTTCTATTTTATTTGAACAACAAATTAGATTTTATTTGCAAACGAGAAGATGAAGTATTAAAATAAAAAATCGGCTACAGAAGCATATGAGGATATTATTAACATGTTAAAATTTGAGGGTGTTGGAGTTTGAGAGTTCAAGCAAAAGACTAAAAATTTTCACTCAGCCTCATACACAGAAAATGTCCTCTAACACTTCTAGAATAAATATGCTGATTGTGCATTTTGGCACTCATAATAAATATTGCAAAGAACTGTAGAAGTCGTCCATCCCCAGAAACTGAAGCGCTATTTGTGTTTTAATGTTACTGGCAGAGCATCTTGAAAGAACGTATCCCCCCCCCCTGAATAAGTGGAATGACTATTTCCAATAAAGTTTCAAACTATCCTTAACCCATTCTGATGAAGTTTTTGTAACTTTTGATATCCTCACCCCAAAGTTCATTTAACCCTTTCCGGCACGCTACCTTTTAAATTTGGAATTTCAACAACAGCAAAAAAAAAAAAAGGGGGGGGGGTAGGCAGTCTAATCAGGGCTAGAAGAGTATACAGGTAAAATTTTGTGACATCGTTTTAATTTTGTGGGTGTACCCGAAGCGGGCACATGAATGAACAGAGCTTCAAAGAGAGTGATGAAATGAGAATTGCTGGGAAGCGCATAAAAGAGTAAGAGATTTTGCATATAATTAAAAATCACTAGATTCTGAATACCGTATCAGATTTAGCATTACCAGTCCAGTGCCACGGGGACGCCTGCTACTCTACACCCGCCTCACCCCAAAGTTCACTTAACCCTTTCCGGCACGCTACCTTTTAAATTTGGAATTTCAACAACAGCAAACAACAAAAAAAAAAAAAAAAAAAAAAAAAAAAAAAAGGGGATAGGCAGTCTAATAATTTTGTGGTTATGGCTCTTCTTGGTTATCTGATGATTGCATACGTATGAATGGTGGGAAAAATAGATATTTACATTATTTACATTTCATATTTACACTTTCGTCTATTTTTTTTCCATGGTGGTACTTTTCGAAGAAAGTGACATCACCTTTGAAAAAGCACAACCCAATATTGCATGTTTCGCACATGTACCAGGATCTGTATCAGATTCACTATCTAAAAGCAATTCGGGTAGCACTTTCAGTGATTCAGAAATGGTCTGCCTACCCTCTTCGATCCATTTGGAAAATAATTAAAATTCTAAAAAAAATACATTAATATAATAACTACTGTTAGAAATTATAAACTATAAAATAAAATTAAATAAACGTCTACAACTCAAAACTATCAAACGCAGTGCTAACAAAGATTCTTTGAACAAAAACAAAAGAGGAAAAAGAAAAACCAAACAGCTGACTGATAAAACTACCCCTGACCTTCAGTAAATCACCCCAACAATTACTTAGTAGATAACCAAGTCTACCCTCCCCTACCCCCCAAAAAAGAAAGAATAAAGAGAAAAACAGGAAATGAAACACAGATGTGAAGCCACGTTTCTATTGTCAATGAACTGACCAGAGAACTGCAGAGAAACAAAGATACAGTTTTTGGTCTAGTCCTAGTCTCTCAGTGAGCCCATTCTTTGAACACCTGTTGTTCGCTGATCGATTTTAGGCAAGATTTCAAAGTGAAAATTTAAAACTAATATAGAATAAGGAGATTAGCATACAGCTAATAAAATAACATAGAAATTTCTTTTCAAACAGTTCTTTTTATATCCTAAAAAAACCTGGAATATTTCTTTGAAAAATAAAGGTCTTTAAAAACTAAACATGGCTAAAATATATGGACTGGTTTGTGTTGTGCTGCCATCTAGTATAAATAAAGTTCAGAGTAACCTATGGTAACCTTTAAATCCATTTTCATTCAATTTTTCTGTTTGTACAGAAGGAAATTTTTAGGTGTGCTGGGCACACCATGCCGCAAAGGGTTAATTAAAAGTTGATTTAATGCTCCCAGTTCATCATGGCATCACATACTCAGTTACATATTGATTTCCTTTTCTTCTTC